AGTTCTCCCACTTACTGACTGAGTAGCCTTGGACAAGTCATTTGATTTCTCCAGCCTTCAGATTCCTCATCTGTAAAATAGAAATATTAATAATATTTTTCCTGATGGAGTTGCGATGAGGATTAAATGAGTTAACACATATAAATATTTATAATACTGGTTTGCATACAACACAGGTTTTAGATTAATATATGATTATTATTGTTATTATTATGATTGATGACAATGTTAAAAGTCATATAGAGGAAAAGCAGCTCTATGATTACTTTTACTACCCTGGAATAAATGTCTGTGTTTCTAAATCAAATACAAAACAGAGGAACTAACTTGTAAAATGTATAAATAATCAACGAAAATATTCTTGTTGGCTTTTACTTTTTTTTAAATTAATTAATTAATTTTTGGCTGAGTTGGGTCTTTGTTGCTGCACGCGGGCTTTCTCTAGTTGCGGCGAGCGGGGGCTACTCTTCGTTGTGGTGCACAGGCTTCTCATTGCAGTGGCTTCTCTTGTTGCAGAGCACAGGCTCTAGGTGTGCGGGCTTCAGTACTTGTGGCCCACGGGCTCAGTAGTTGTAGCTCACGGGCTCTAGAGTAGTTGTGGTGCACGGGCTTAGTTGCTCCGTGGCATGTGGGATCTTCCAGGCCCAGGGTTCGAACCCGCGTTCACTGCATTGGCAGGCAGATTCCTAACCACTGTGCCACCAGGGAAGCCCAGGCTTTTACTTTTGAAATGGAATATCATCCATTAGTGTCAGCTCTTTTAGTTTGGTTCTCATGTTTTAAAAGTAAATATGTTGTTACCAAAAAAAAAGTCATTAATGGACAAAAAATTACCTCTAATAATTCAAGCACTGCCTAGATAGAGTATTAAGAAAAACAAATCTGATTATAATTTAAAACCAATGTCAGAATGGTAAGATTTTAAAGTGCATCTATTGTAGAATATTCCATTACCTTGCATTGGACAGGACTAAACCTTACTACTGCAAACACATAATATACACAATTTCTTTTAAATTGCAGCCATTTTGTACTCTATATATTTCTCCCCTACCCCAGGACATACCAATAACCTTATAAAATAAGTCAGGGTTCTTTAATCTTAAATATACTAACCCAACTTTCAAGTGTTTTAATGTATAATTTCAAGATAAAATTTGAATATCTATATAGAATAAAACTCTTATTTGAAACTGAAATTCTAATTCAAAGATAAATATATATAGAATCAACATTTTATTTTTAGAAGAAATAGTTCTACCATTTCTCACTGTTCTTACTGTTCTACTTTCTCAGACAAGACATTGGTTTTATTTATATAAAAGTTACCATATTTTTTGGTTGGCATAAATAATGCCCACACAAATCTTTCAAGGAATATAATGTCTGCTTTTTATGAAGCCTACATTCTGTCTTTAAATAAAAAACAAAGGTCAAGCTGTAGAAGTCAAAAGAATTTATGACATTCCCTTACCAGTGCCTACAGAAGAGGGTATTATTGAGGAAGCAATGAAGAGCTCTTAAAGAATCAAAGATCAATCCGTTTGCAATTAACGTTGGCTGCAGGCATGTTTGGAAGAGGCAGTAAACCAACAGAAAATTTTTATGTTTACTTGTAAGTAAATACCAATTTAAAAATTGTGAGTTTTGGGAACAGCAAATGACAAGATGTACCTATAATATGGAATTATTTGTAATCACACTATGGGTAAAGTGTTTTACTTTTCATTCACTTACATAACATTCACAATCATGCTTTATTTTTTCAGTTCAGTTTGTTTTTTTGCTTCTCTCTTCAATGACTTGAAAGCATCTCATGAATTAAGCGACCATACTTTCTGAAAGATTTGCTTCCTTCTCCACATCTCTTTAATCCCAATTTTCTAAGTCAAGGCTGATACCTTCTGAAATAGCGGACGATTTGAACACTGTGAACCTTTAAATTGACTTAATATTTCTAAAAGCTAAGAGGAAAAGTTTTTAAATTCTTCAAGGCTGCAAGGATTTTCTTAGTTAAAATTCGTGGCATCTCACATTCCTGGCTTTCTAAATGTTACAATTTGTGGCAATTCAAATTTCTGGCTTTCTCAATTAAATTCTAAGACAAATCATAGATTCAAATTTTGTTTCCAAGGTAGTCACTTGTTCTACTCACTTAGGTACAGAAGAGGTCAAATGTTTTCAGGTCCCATTCATGTCCCATTCATTAGACAAGTGAAGTTTTGTTGAGATATTTTATCATAATATACCACACTCATTACCCTTTCTATCACTGAGGATGAACAAAATAGAAAATGAAAATTTGCTTTGTGAGCTAGAGTTTAATTTAATACTGCTTTGTATTGTAGGGGAGCAGAACTTGCCACCCCCAAATATCTCTTTAGCATTCAGATTTTTTCTAGCTAAAAATAATCAAGGCCCAAAAAACTCAGGAAGAAACTTTGACCTTTCCCCTAACTGCCTAAAGAATTTAGAGGGTTAATTACAAGAATAGAGCTATTACCAGAGATGTCTGCAATGAACATAGGCTAGGTATTGTGGGGGAAAACTTAGAGATCAGAGACTCTGTGTCCTATTGTCTCTGTGCGGCCCAGCAAACATTTGTTTACCAAACTTTTGATTTGCCATCTCCATGTGAATTGCCTTCCTCCCCTTTGAAGTCCCAAGCCACCCCCCCCAACATCTTCTTTTGTCTTTAGCTGAAGATAGTATTTAAGGTGAGGGTTTTAGTCGTTTTGACAAGTCACTCAGTTTTTCTGGGGCTCACCCAAGGGTGTATGTTATTAAAATTTTGTTTGATTTTTCTCTGGTTAATCTATCTCATGTTAATTTAATTCTTTGACCAGCCCCAAGAACCTAGAAGGGTAGAGAAACCTTTCTTCCTCCCCAACAGCATTAAAGCCCTTCTATTTTACTGGAATTTGGGGGGATGGGATAGGAAGTAGGAAGAAAACTAAGAGATTTTCTCAACGGTTAATGTCACAGATTGCTTATCTCTAAATTTGTTAATATTGTGAGATTTAATAATAGCTATTTATTTAAGACTATCAATGTACTTGCTCGATTTTTTTCATAGAAAATAATAATCAACCTGGGAAAAAATAAACATGATTTCCAGATTTTGGTAACTTAGATTATTTTCCAAGAAAATAATTTTGAAAGACATCAGAAATTTTTCATCTCCTAAAGAGATATTTTCACTGCAAGAGTAAGAGAAGGCAAAAAGGGACCGTAAGTAAGTACTTAGTGTCATCCAAATCCACCTTCTCTTATCTCCCCCTGCCATCAAGTTCACTCTTAAATTCATTCATTTATAAGTGTTTATCGAATGTATATTATATGTAGATGCATGATGAGTACTATCAGACATATAAAATAAAACTATCAGAGCATATAAAATAATCTATGACCTTATGTAATTTATACTATAGTGGGGTATTCAAGCAGGGAAACAGAACTAAAAGGAATAGTCAAGTTCATATCACACCAGCTCTGTAATTCATTAATTAATTCAACAAACATTTACTTAAACATACCTACTATGTAAAGGGCATGTTTTCATTTTGCAAATACAGTAAATTGCATAGGTATTGTGTGATTAACTGCTGGGTGTAGTGTTTGGGACATGGTGAAGACTACACATTACTTAAATGTATAACGGTATGCTTCTCCAGAGAAGACCTTACAAAAACAAGCCAGAAGCTTCATTAAAATTTTCAAGTATATATTTTGCAAATGTGTTATTTATTTCTGAATAATATTGAAATCTTTTCTTAAAAGTTATTTTCCACAGACAAAAATTATGTAAATATTAAGGAGAATAAAAAACTCATTAACCAGACAATGACAAATTCTGCAGTTATTGCCAAAATCACAGTACCTGTAGTAGGTTGAATAATGGCCCCTACAAAAAAGCCCACATCTTAATTTCCAGAACTTGTGAGTATGTTACCTTACAAGGCAAAGGGGATTTTTCAGGTATGATTAAGTTTATAATCTGGAAATAGAAAATTAGCCTAGATTATCCAGTTGGGCCCAATGTAATCACAAGAATCATTATAAAATAAAGGGAGAGGCAGGAGAGTCAGAGAGAGAAATATGACAACACAGTAGAAGTTGAAGTGATGAGGGATTGTAAGCCAAGGAAAGTGGACAACCTCCAGAAGTTAGAAAAGGCAAGGCAATGGATTCTCCCCAAAGCTTCCAGAAAGAACACAGTCCTACCAACACCTTGATTTTAGCCCAGTGAGACCTATTTTGGACTTCTGACCTTCAAAACTATAAGATAATAAATTTGTGTTCCTTTACACCACTGTTTGTGGTAATTTGTTACAGCAGCCATAGGAAAATAATACAGCACCTTCTTGAGCATTTACTTTGTGCCACTACACATATTAGACATATTATATCTTTTAATCTTCATAAGAGCCCTATAAATTTTCTGTGTTTCACAAATGAGGGAACCAAGGTAAAACTGTTTAAGCAGTTTGCTCAAGAGACTGAACCCTTGGATTCCCTGGTGGCGCAGTGGTTGAGAGTACGCTTGCCGATGCAGGGGACACGGGTTCGTGCCCCGGTCTGGGAAGATCCCACATGCCGCGGAGCGGCTAGGCCCGTGAGCCATGGCAGCTGCGCCTGCGTGTCAGGAGCCTGTGCTCCGCAATGGGAGAGGCCACAACAGAGAGAGGCCCGCGTACCAATAAAAAAAAAAAAAAAGAGAGACTGAACCCTTAATCATCATTAAATTTCCTCATGATCAAGCAAGGAAATACATACATATGAAGCAGGATATCAACCTAGGAGCAATTTTATTTTTGAAGTGTTTTACCAAAGTGCTCATAGTTTCCTTAGATTTTATTTTGTAACTTGATGAAAATTCTGTAAGCATACACTACTAAAGATTTGAGTGATTGCTTGAGTTTCATGATAAACATGTTGGCTTTGTTTATTCTTGATGGCAGTACTCCATTTCTAATGTTTTCCATTTGTTTCACTCCTAGGAATTTGATGAGATATCTGCCACTGTCTCTCTATCTCTCTCAGAAATGCACCAAGACCCCCTAAACACCACCATACGGAAATGATATTTGAACAGCTTAAGGTAGAGTGGTTTATCTAATCAAGGCTAGATTAGGGATGGTAGAGCAGGTAATTGTTTAAAAATAACATAGAAGTATTGGAGCAGTGTGATAAAGGTATCGATTTTTTGTCACACAAGTCTTAACTGCTTTCTTTGTTTAAAACTCACTCTTCTACAAGTAAAATATCAAAAAATATTCTCTCTATATATATTGGTAAACTGTTTAAGCACCATGCACTTAGTCAAACATTACATAAAACACATGTTTACCTTCTATTTTTCACACACAGATAAAGATAAAGATGGCAACTGGGGCTTCTCTGGTGGCACAGAGGTTAAGAATCCACCTGCCAATTCAGGGGACACGGTTCAAGCCCTGGTCTAGGAAGATGCCACATGCTGCGGAGCAACTAAGCCCATGCACCACAACTACTCTAGAGCCCACAAGCTACAACTGCTGAGCCCGTGGGCCACAACTACTGAAGTCTGTGTACCTATAGCCCGTGTTCTGCAACTGCAACAAGAGAAGACACGGCAATGAGAAGCCCACGCACGTCAACGAAGAGTAGCCCCTGCTCGCTGCAACTAGAGAAAGCCCACGCACAGCAATGAAGACCCAACGCAGCCAAAAATTAAATAAAGATGGCAACTGTAAGCATATTAGAACCTATTATTTATAACTAGTTATCATGCAACATAATTTTTATTATTCCTATCAATAGTTATCATGCAACTAGTTATCATGCAACATAATTTTTATTATTCCTATCAATATGCATCTATTTAACTAGTTTTATTATATCTTTTATTTGGTTGAACAATAAAATGTGTTCTTTTATATTTATTCTTTATAGTAAATGAAGAATAGTATGCAGTCTATGTAGTACTACCTTTTCCTCAAAACAAAGCAAAAACAATTTTTAAAAAAAATCATGTGATACTCTTTTTTATGTGCTTGTTTTTACTTCCAAAATCTTTATAGAGTAAACAACCAAATTCAGTGCAGTTTTGCTCATGCACAACTGAGGAAAATATATGTCAGATTTATATTGCTAAATGTCAGAGATACATTTCCCAAGGGGCTAAAAGCAAAACACTGTACCCTTAAACTTAACATTAAGATATATGATTCTAGATTGTATGAAATTATACTTACCTTTAAAATTTTACTAAAAAGCTGAATTTTCCAGTTATTAATTTATTGCAGAAAGAATAATAGAATTTCTTTCTTACACTACAGAATGAGAATTGTCAGCTAAGATACAATTGCAATAATTATTGCTGATGAGGATACAAAAGACAGAAATAGCACTACTTGCTGACAGATCACAGGTGGAGCATGGGTTACTGGAAGCAACAAAAATTACATTTCCATTGAACAGCAAATGGACTTGCTATGGAGATCTCTAAGAAATAAATAGATCCACTCGTAATCTTATTCACACAAATCTATATTCCCTGAACTGAATTGCTACTTTTTATAGTTATGAACAATTATTTGTCAAACTTTCTAAAAACTTTAAATTCTAGTTGAATTTATGTTCAGGAGTGTGATGTTCCTGATCACATATCAGTTACCAATATTTTCAGGGGTTTTTTTGTAAATAATACATTTATTCATTCAACTAACTTTATTGATTGCCTATCAAAGGCCTAACGTTTTTCTAGCCTGAGGATACAAAAATGCCTAAGACACACTCACTGTCCTCAAGAAGCTTAGGATGGTTTGGGAGGTTAATAAAATACAACAGACAATACAATGAGGTAAATGCACTCTTGCAAAAATGCATAGGTTACATAGAGAGTAGTTAAGTTATCACACTTAATGTTAGGAATTAGTCAAGGAAAGAAGGGGAGGCTGTCAGGGAAATGCCATAAAGGAGATGCACCTAAGCTGAGTTTTAGTGGATGAATCGGTACGAGCTAGATACAAGCATTTATGGGGAATGGTGCTGAGAATATTTCATGCAGAATTATATACATGAGCAAAGACAGAAAGATAAGAAAGTTCATGGCATGTTGGGTAAAGTCCTAGTAACATGGAGTGATCGATGAAACGCGAGTTATAATACTGGGCTTCCAGTTGCAAGATGGAAGTGGAAGTCGGCATTTTCCCTATTCTATTCCTTGAAATCATCCAAAAGGAATGAGGAGAAAGAAAACAAAACTACACAATCTCATTTTTAGCAAAATTAGGGAATAGCTAAATCCTAGATGAAATTGGAGGAAAGGCTGACATAAATTACTGGAGATAAAATAATAGTACATTTAGGAGGAAGCAAAGAGAGTTTGCCTTGGTTGTAGATCCCCAGTAGAACCAGCAAAAGCCACTTCTCAATGGGAAAGAGTACACTTGGAGGTGAAAACCTAAATTCCTTATTTGCAATCATTAAAATCATTGGTAGACAACGTTGCAGTGCTTCTCTGGACCTAATTTGGGTTTGAAAAGCAGAGGTAGGGTTAACTGAAGCATCATGAAAATAAGTTCATTTAGGAAGGAAGGAATCTATGGTAGTAGAATAAAAGAGAAAACAGGAGAAATAAAAAAAACTTTGGTGGGGCAGTAAGGAGTGGGAAAAATTTCACTGGCTAAGGAGAAATGAAATAAAAATGACACAGCCACACCCCCGCCCCCCAAAATATCCAAGGTCAAAAGGAAATTTTCAGATAGATAGAGCATGGTGCTAGATATTTCTCCATATGAATCTCCTTTAATTACCACGTCTAGGACAAAACTCACCATTTAAAGATGAAATATTAAAATAGTATGAGCACAAGATCTATATAAGGATATTATAAGGAATAAGGAGAAAAGAAATAAGAAAAACAAATGGCAGATGGTGATCATGGACGAGAAAAGCAATGTGGTAGAGCAAATAAAATAGATAACCATGATCTTAAACAAGCAAATCGACTTCTATGAAGTATTGAGTAAGTGAAAATAGACATAAGAACTTAGTGAAGAGATGGGGAAAGTGTAGGAAGAGAGAAATTGTGAATTGGCAGAGGTCAGACACTAAGTGGAAGAAACTGAACAAAATAAAATAGAAATAAAGTTGACCCTTGGACAACACAGGTTTGAACTGTGCAGGTTGACTTATATGCAGATATTTTTCAATAGTAAATAGTAGAGTACTACATGTTCCATCGATGGTTGTATCGTGAATGTGGAGGAACGGCACATATGGAAGGCCAACTATAAATTTTACACAGATTAACCCCTGCGTTGTTCAAGGATCAACTGTAAAGAATTTAAAAGGCTATATGAAAGAAGATAATATGTATGAAAGATAGGCAAAAGAGAGTCAATATACAAATAATTGGTGTTTCTATAAAAATAATAGAAATAAGCAAATAATTAAAGATACAATTCAAGGCAACTTTCCTGGAAAAAAACCCCTTAAATTTGCTCATGAAAGGGTTCCTCATACTTCACGGAAACTTGACTCAGAGTGTTTAATACTAAGATATATCCTAGTAAAGTTACTGGACTTGAAATTAAGAAAATTGACAGCTAATTTGAGGTGGAACTAGCATTTAAGCACTGGCAGCCTTACTTCAGGTTTAAGCATTTCTCTAAAACATTTCTCTCAACTGCCATTCAATCCAAGGCTTTTCTGTATGGAGACACAATGGGAAAAGTCCATCTTTTGGATTCCATTTGTAAAAGCTACTTCTTAAAGCGTAATTTCCATGTATTATTATGTTAACCAATTCTGTTCCTGTTTTTTCTCTCTTACTAAAGACTACTGTTTGAAATTGCTGTCCAACCATGCCTGGATGAAAGCATACCATAGAAAAAGGAGTACACTTTTATATGTAGCTGGATGAGTATTTCTGGGAAGGAGAAATGTGCATTTATATTAATCGTACTGGAAATGTTCTCTCCATGGCAGAGAAACTAGATGGAGAGAGCTCTGCTCTCAGCCCAATAGCCCCTGACAGGTTTTCAAAAACTGGATGATCCCCGAAAGACTGAACTCTACTGTACAATATAAATAAAACGGGCCAATTGAGGCAGGAAATTCCCTTTGAGAGATGTCAATGGAAGATGGTTTCTGGTTGGCTCACACATGAGCTTCCTTTAACACCAGATCTTTAAAGAAGATAGGACTGTTTCTGGAGGAAGACAGATCTATGAGCAATATGGCAGAGTTCGTGGAAGCCAGGCCAAGCTATACCAGAAACAAGTTTGGGGAAAACAATAGAAGAAATGACACAACTGGATGCTACCAACAGCTACACATAGGATTTTTGCAGGTGATGCAGAATGGGTTCCATATATGAAGACTGGGGTACTAGGAAATACTGCGATGCTTTATGAAGAAATTAGGACCTTACCAGTTAATTATTGGGTTGAGTAAAACTTGGTAGGGAAAGTGTCGAAGGGTGTCCACACTTTTTTTCTAACTATTTTTGAAGTTAAAGCAAATCTTCAAGAAAGGAAAGACTGTGAAAAAAAGAGTACCCAAAGTTCTTGATCATTCAGCAAAAAGAGAACAAGAAGAGATCAGCTTTATGTAAGAATTTGCAGAAGTGTTATATGGGGTAACAGAGAATACAGGTAGTGGAATGAGGTGTGGAGAGCTGAGTGAGAATCAACAAGCACTGTCTGGAATTATTTGAAATCAGGCTGCCTAAAGTGTCAAGGACTTCCTGGGAGCACCCTATTGTTACAATTAACTCTGGAGGGGAGAAAGCTAAGGCCATAGAAACTTATCAGATGATAAGTTGGTTAAAATAGAATTATGGATTATTTGGAATGCTTGAAAATCAAATCTGGTGAATTTCATACATATAAAAATAGCAGTATGATAGCCTAAATAATTATAAGAACTTAACATTTACCCTTCATTCAAGTCTATTGGATTTGATTTTTATACAAAATATTAATTAGATGAAACAGATTCGATACCTGAAGTAAATGTACAGGCTTAAAACCACTTTATCCTGAAATAGCTTAATAATTTATCCAAAGAAAAGTATGTTTTGCTTGTTTGTTTAGCTTGAACTGGATCACCTGGATAACTGCCTCAATTTTTTCTCTCAGCATTTAGATACGTGTTGTCCAATATGTGAGCTATCGAACTCTTATAATGTGGCTGATCTGAATTGAGATGCGCTATAAGTTATAATACAAACCAGACTTAGAAGACTTATGAAAAATAATGTAAAACATGTTATTAATAATTTTTATATTAATGTCATGTTGAAATGATAATATTTTGTATGTATTGGGTTAAATGTATTGTTAAAATTAATTTCATCTTTCTTTTTCTTTTTAATGTGGCTACAAGAAAATTTTAAATTACGGATGCACTGTATATTTCTATTGCACAGTACTGATTTAGACATTACCTTCATAACATATTTAATAAGAATTCAAAAATCTGA